GAGACGCTGGTGAGTTTGAACCACTGACCTTGTGATTCAAACAGACCTTGAGGTCCATTGCTTATCCTACAGTGCCACACCAGGATGCTATGAGCCAGAATGGACTTGACCTTGATGGTACACAACAATCATGACCACAGGAAGGGCGTACCATTATTCTTTCTTAACCATGAAATTACGAGATTGTTCTCCACTGAAAAAGGATTCCCTTCCTTCGTGCCTTCGCAATGCAGGGGCTGCTTGGATACTTCTTTATGCCTGTCTTGATGTTTTCCCTAGGCTCAAGCTTTCTTTAGAATTTTCTGTATAGAAAGTTTATAGTTGTATTATATGGGTTATTATTGTTGTTGGTAAGTGCCATCGAGTCAGTTCCAACCCATAGTGACCCTATACAGGGTTTCTGAGGAGCGGCTGGTGAGCTTTAACCACTGACCTTATGGTTCAAACCGACTTTGCAGTCCAGGGCATTAACCCACAGCACCACACCAGGACTCCATTATATGGATACTGAGGAGTATATTTTCAAATAAGTAATTTCCCTCTAGAACTTACATGGTTTCATTTTAGTATTTGAGTTAAACTATTGTTTACTGGGTTCCATGGAGCTCTGGTAGCATAGTGGTTATGAATTGGGCTGCGAACTGCAAGGTCAGCAGTTTGAAACTACCAGCTGTTCCGTGGGAGAAAGATGAGGCTTTCTGCTACCGTAAAGATGTACAGCCTCGGAAACCCTGTATAGGGTCGCTATGAGTTGGAACCGACTCCACAGCACATAACCATCACCACCATCATTCCCTTATAGTTTAACAAAAGGAAATACCAGTCTTTACCCAGAGAAAACCAAAAGGCCAGGAGGACATTGCTTATGTTACCAGATAAATAAAAAGCATTCAGCAGATAAATAAGAAAAGATATAGATCTCTTATACTTTTCTCAGATTGTATAATGACTCAAGTTCCACCCAGAAAGTTGACCTTTCTAGACTTTCTTCTGAATGACTTCTCCATTTTGGTCATTTCCAAATGGGACTATGACTTTGGTTTGAAGACTCCTGTTTCCTTTGTACCGAGGCTGATAGAAGGAAAAGAGATGCACGGGATTTTATTTTAACCTCTCAAATGCTATGCCCCTATTGGGTAGCTATCTGGTTCAGAAACTTTGGAACCATTTTTGTGATCAGACATGAACAAGGATTTGGGTAGGGTCAGATGATCCTAAGGAAACTGGGAGTGCTGAACTTCAAGAAACAGGATTCTGTTTAAAATTGGAACTCAAGTTGTCCTAGCTCCTAATGAACTCTCCATAACCCTCTCTTCAAAGCAGGAAGGATATAAACTAACACAGTCTTTGCCTCCTTGTCTGTCTCACCAACATTAACATCTTTCGCCCTTTGTACTAATTCCTCCCCTATGTCTTCAGCTTCAGTAATACATAAAGCATCAGTTCCCACTTCTGCTGAGAAATTAAACCCAATGTAACTTTATATAAAACTCTTAATGATCCCAGACATACTTCCCAGTCTGGCATACTGGGCAAGTCCCCCTACATCACTCTAACCAAGAATTGGCCCCTTTTCTGTCCATTTTGTGTACTGCCAAGTTTAAGCTTGAAACAGAAGTCCCAACCAATGTAAACTGCAAGCACCTCTGTTTATGCTTTTCATTAACCCACATGAGGGTATGCTGTGTTTCATCTTCACCACTAAAAATGACCCATTGTAAATTGGACCCATTTCATAAAAGAAAGGGTTGCTTTAATCCTGGGGGAGGCATTTAATGATATAGGTTGTCTAGGGTCTGAATCCTGGTCTGGTGCTGTGGGCTAATGCATTGTACTTCAAAGTTGGTTTGAACCGCAGTTTCAGTGGTTCAAGCTCACCAGCCACTCCTCATAAACGCTATACAAAGTCATGACGTGACAGCACTTAACAACAACAGAAAGATTGTTACTGCTGCCACTAAACTTTTTCTTTCTCCCTTTCCTTTCACATTGTCCCCTTCTTTTCCTCCTTGGCCTTGCTCTTGTCCTCCCCCCACCCCCTTTTTTTTTTCTTCTTCCTTTCATCTATTCTTCTCTCCATCTCTCCAGTCTTTACTTTCTGGAGTAGAACAGAAGTAGGATGTAAAGGAACATGAAAACCTGAATTTTATTTGGGACACTGTATCTCCTACTGAGGCTCTTTTCAGAGTCACAGTGTTCCTGCACAGAGACTGATGGAAACACACATAGGTTCTAAGGAGGGTGGGTTGGGTGGGCATCCATCAGGCAAGCTGACTAAAGTGGGTGAGGAGCATTGTGTCCCTGAATGGGTGGTGTTCCTCTTTAGCACCGTCAACCTATGATCTACCCTAGACTCCAAGAGACAGCCCATGAAACTAGGGCTGACTAGCCTCCACCACAGGGTATTTTCATGCTTTTCATACCTTGTGGTATTCGAGGAAGATTCAAAGCTTTAGTCTCCCATTAGTAAAGTCATTGAATTACCTTGGGAAGAAGCCAAAAATAAACCTCCTGGGTGTGACCAATTCACATGCATATGAGGCAATTGAAAACACCATGGCTTGGGTCTGTCCTCAAACTGACATCTTTGCTCTTGAACACTTTAAAGAGATCTTCTGCCAACAGATCTGCCTAATGTAATGTTGATTGATTTCTTGACTACTGCTTCCATGAGTATTGAAGCAAAATGAAGTCTGTGACAACTTCAATTTTTTCTCCATTTATCATGATGTTATTTGTTGGCCCAGTTGTGAGGATTTTTGTTTTCTTTACATTGAGGTATAATCCATACTGAAGGTTGTAGTCTGATTTTGTATGTTGTTAAGTGCTGTTGAGCTGGTTCAGACTCATAGTGACCCTGTATAGGGTTTCCGAGGAACGACTGATGGGTTTGAACTGCAGACGTTGTGGCTCAAACTGACTTTGTAGTCCAGCACATTGTCCTGTAGCGCCACACCAGGTATGGTGGATAGCAAATCCCACTCCATACGTCAGCTGTGAAAATCTCAGTTACCCTTCCCTATTCATTTCAAACCCAGTTGATCAGGCAGCCTTCCTCTCTCTCATCCCCTAGCTACCCAGGGATAGGGTACTGGATACAAGCTCAGAGTTCACGAAATTCCTTCCACTTCAGACCAGCCAACCCCTACTACTCCTTTGGGTCCGATAATTCACTGGAGTGACACACAGACCTTCACTAAGTACCATACTTAGTACGGATCCATTACAAACAAAAAGGATACATAGGAAGAGAGATAGGGTGGGCAGTGGTAGGAGGTAACAGCATGGAGTTTCCACATACCAAGGAGGGATTGTGCTACCCTCTCTCATGCTGGTGCCCCGAGTCGGTTCCGACTCAGCGAACTTGTATAGGGTTTCCAAAGTTGTAAATCTTCACGGGAGCGCCTGGTAGATTTGAACTACTGACCTTGAAGTTAGCAGCCCAGCTTGTACTCTCATACATGGTCATAAACCAGGAAGCTCCAACCGAGCCTCCATGTTTAGGGTTCTTATCAGCCTCACCATGTGGTGATGATAGATTACATCAGGCCTCTTGAGGCTTATTTGGCATTGGACCCCAGGTGGTCCCTCTTGGTCTGGCCAACCCTCACTCATTAGCCTCAGGTGTTGATCCCGCTCTCGGGAACCAAGACCAAAGGCTATGACTTTTCCACATCTCGCAACAGCACAACAAAGTAAAAGCTATGGTTTCGCTAAGTAGCACTTGCAACCTAGAGAAACTCTGGTGTTTCTTTTCTTTTTAATCCAATTCCTTCTAGAACTAAGACATGACAAAAGAATTGCAATTCTTCAGTTTTGTCTGCTAGTGTATGCTTGCTCTAAGTCCCCTCCAGCCATCAGACTTCATTTTAGCCCTAGAGCAAGGAAACGACACCCACAGGTTAGGATCTTTGCAAACAGATTTCAATTCAGAAACATGCCAAGCCATTTTATATATATATATATATATATAGTCATCCAAGATTTATTGAGCATCTACTAGTTGCCAAGCACTACTCTTACCTCTGGGGAATACAATGAACAAAACATGCCAACTCTCCTTTAGCAGCCAAATCATTAGGGTGGAGGGTGTGTGTGGCCAGGGAAAAAGAAGGGGGCAAGTGAGTCTTAACATGCACCAACCCACTGTTGTCTTTGAATCCATATCCTCTCTTCCCAAAGACCACCAAAGTTAGACAATACAGAAAAATTGAATCCTCAATGTCTCTGCACCCTGGCAAATTGTGTCTCATTCTTAACCATTCATAATCCTATCACTTTGCCTTGTTCCTCTTTGATCTCCCACCTACCCAGCACTTGGGAGCGATAGGGCAGCAATAAAGGTGAAATTGAAAACGCTGAATTTAGAGTCAGAAGACTGCAGATCCATGCAAGTGACTTAATCTCTTTGAACTTGTTCGTTTGTTTTATGAGATGGGTTCCTGACGGCTGTACTATCTCCCTGTCATGGATTATTGCAGACTTTTTCAGTATCAATGCTTTGTTGGTGTTGTGCCGTCGAGTCGGTTCCAACTCATAGCGACCCTGTATAGGGTTTCTGAGGAGCAGCTGGTGAGCTGGAACCACCAACCGTGTGGTTCAAACCAACCTTGCAGTCCAGCACATTAGCCCACAGCACCACACAATGTTAGATTCAAACTACCTATACTGAAGACTGAGTAGTTGGGGTGCTGCCACCATAGCTCAGGGGAGAGGGAGTGAAAGTTTGAATTATGTGAAAAGGGGACTGATGAATTCAAGAGCTACCATTTAAGTCAAAGCAACATGATTTAGCAACTGACTGGATGTGGGGTTCAAGGGTAGGGGGAGAATTTCAATGGATCTTTACACGAGGTCTCCAGCCTGGGTGACTGAGAGAGTATGGGACCACTTGTTTCATGACGCTTATCAAGTAATTAAGGTCCATATTGTTGTAATGATTATTGGGGGAACTGCAAACCCATTGCCTAAACTGATGGTGTTCTGTTTCTATCACACAGCATTCCAGTGTCTTTCCATCCTCCCCTCCCTCTGGACTTTCTGATGAGCCCCAGTCTGCCTCTCCCTCACCCAGCTACATGTGGTCCTCTAGTGCGCCACCCCGTTACTCTCCACCTTACTCTCCGCCTTTTGAAAAGCCACCGCCTTACAGTCCCTAAAGAGAAATGTCTGCTGGCTACTGAGATTATTGCGGCTTTTGTATTTCTGCTTTAGTGGAAATGTATAGGGTACAAATTTTAGAGTGTGACTCTTATGCATAGTTTTAAAGTTTTACAATGGCCTGCCAGGCTAGGGAAAGATAGGGATACAGCTTATTTGTTATCAGAGCAGAGAGTGGCTAGGCAGAGCTCAGGGCTTTCCGCTAAGGGCTGTTCACAATAAGCAAAGCTGCAGAGCCAGCCCAGCAAGCTTAGCTTGTTTAGACCTGCATTACCCATTGGTTCCACCTCTGTAGTTGGCAGAAGTGGGGTTGCCATCTGTTTCACTACATGTAAATGGAGTTGTCCTCAGGCCCCTGGCAGATTGCCACCCAAGCCCCTTGGTTGAAGCACCTGACTTAAAGGCCCTATCTTTCCCTACCACTAAAGTCAGTCCTCATGAAACTTTCCCAGCTGATGGGGACATACAGTAGTTCCAGCAGAGAGAGACTTCTGGCAAAGATTTTGTTTGCTTGTGCCTGGGTGTTGGAAAAAGCTGCCAATACTTCTTATTCCTTTCTTCTCTGTGAGTATGTAAAAATGGCTGTTGTGATCATTTAGTCCAGCTTGTTATTGGTACCTCCTCAAGGGAAAAGTGCAATATTCCCTCAGCTTGAAAAGAGGGCAACAGCGCTGATTGTTCAGGAAGTACTGAGAAGTACACAAAGCAACATGTGAAATGTTTTCAATGAATCTGATAATTAGATTGATAGATTGATAATTAGATTGATAGATTGATACAGGTTGCATTATTACAAAATATACTTGCTACAGGAGATACAAATCTTAGGGTTAAAAGTCACAGTCAAAACATGCTAGATTATGTTATCAGGACTGACTGCGAGGGTTGGAAATGTAAAGGTAGACGTTTTGTAGCAATAGGAAGGGAGTGATTGACTTTGCAGTCCAGGAGCAGAGGACCCGGGGACCAATAAGGGAGAAGAGCGGAGAGCGGGACCCTACCCAGAGAAGCAGTGATGCCAGAGATGGAGGCAGAGATGATGACGTGGAGAGATGGAGCGGCTGGGGACTCTAGACCCAGAGAGGGAGAGGGGCTGTGTGCTGACGACTGGGGGGGAGGGGCAGGCTTGCAGGGTTGGTTGATGGTGCTTGGAGGGGATTGTAACCATGGCAATGAAATGATATACCATAGGATGAATGTAAAGCTAATGTTCTCCCATGTAAACTATCACATAATTCACACTAAAACATTTTTTAAATAAAATACTAGATTAGGTTCTTGGGTCGTGATATGAATTGTTACTAATCTTTGTGACTATTTAATCTTCAAATGTTGTGCTTCAACCCCAGCAAACCGCACGTATCCTGTACCCCAGCCCAAAAGACTCATCTGTATTTTAAAGCCACTGCTCTTAATGGTTCCTTTCTTCTGTTGAAACCAATCATGCCAACGTTCAATTCAAGTTTAAGAAAGTGTTACAATGCTGCTTCAAGTCTGCAAAACCTCAAATGTAGTCAACTTGATCAATTCTTACTACCGTAGACTTTACAATCCACCTGGCACATTGTGTTCCTTGTACAGTTCTTCTAATTATACATAGCTTTAAACCATTGACCTGATGAATTTTAAACTTTGGCATCCATGCCTTCACTTCAGAATGAACTTTCATTGCATTCTTAAATTAGCCTGGGAATTAACTGATTAATTTAAAGGAAGACTGATAATCCTATACTTGCATAATGTGAAAATACAGGGGCTACAGTAGGATACATAATTCAAAACAGTTCTGCAAATACAGAACTCTTACTGGAAAATTTTCCAGCCAATTTCGCTACCTCCCAACTTGATGGATTAGAGGAGGCGTAGCAGACAAATGCTGGTGCTCCCATCTACCTTCTAGACACCCAGCCATCAAGAATCAAGGCACGACAAGTGCCCTCACTGTTCACAACAAATGTTTGCAGAACATTTAGTTTAAACTTCCAGCATTATGTCTCATCCAGAGCTCAACTCTGAAAAATGATAATCCTTTTGCATTACACAAGATTACTATTATTTTCTACAATTCTGAGCATACTACAAATTCTATTGGATTTCAAATAGGGGCAAATAACCATCTGACTCACTATACAAGTATCAACTTGCAATCTCAATGAAATGTTTTGCTGCTTACATTTTACCTTTTGCTTTAGCAACTTTTGTCTATTTAATTTGTAAAAAGGCACCATTACACAGTATATCCATTTACTACATTTCCTAAAGTATTGAGATTCTAAGACTCATTTCTATGTATTTTCTTACTTTACAAAATAACTTAAAACAGTATATTTTGTAACACTTAATTTGAGCAGCTTCTTTTTCTATTACATTGAACTATATGAAGTGTATGTCACCTTATAAAAAAGTATTTGCTGCTTTACTTTTTTGAAAAGCATTTGCTGTAATGAAGGAATTTATATTTCCAATATATACCTGGATTGCATTTTGTAATATTTACTGCTTTATTCCTAATTCTGCTTTAAAGTATTGAACTGGGCATGAAATGTTAATATTAATCCAGAAATCTGTATAAACTGGATGTTGCTTAAAATCTGTATCACTGCCACATTTGAAACCCAGAATGCTTTTGTGATGTTTGAAATTAATAAAACTATCGTCCTCCTTATCCACTTACATGTGTTCTCATGGTATCTAGTAAATTTTAGCAAACCTCTAAAGCAACTGGCAGCAGCTCACTCACTTTCAACTATTATGGGTTATGAATGACAACACAGAAAACTAATGGGGAATGTTGCTGTACTAGCATCAGAAAGACAGCTCCCATCTCCTGCTACAACTAAAAAATGGACTCAAAAAGGCTGTATCCTTTCTGAAAGATAACGTGGAGCTGTAGGATAAGCACTGACCTGTTAACTGTAAGGTCAGCAATTGAAACCCACCAGCTGCTCTTAGGAATCCTATACAAGGTCACTATGAGTCAGAACTGACTCGATGGCACACAACAATCTTATAAAAAATACACTCAAAAATGAGAATTAAAACATTTTTATTTTTGCCATAAGAAGCTCTAAGAACTATAGCAGTTAAAGGTTTATGAAAAGTAGAACGTAAAAGTTATGATAGGGAAGACTATACAAGTATGAACATTACAGTATTGGGGAAAATAAACCGGGTTTCATCTGACTGACAGAGCTGAAGAAGTCAGGATTGCTGAATTAACATTTGCTTCTTTAGATGATGCATGCCTTCAAATACAAATCACCTTGATCGATTTAGCCATGTGTTTGCTTTTTGGTACAATGGAAAAATTGCAGTATCAGTTCCTCAGAGTTACTATATGTGGGGTATCTTTACCACCCAAATCCTAATGATCACTTAAAACAGATTTTAGAGTTACTCTTCCAAGATTGCTAAGGTATTTTTAAAGTTTGACTTTGTTCGAGCATTTTCATTTTGTCATTGAACAAATTACTACTGCAAACAAGTCCTCTCTGGAATACGCACAGGTAATTTAGCATAGGAACAAATTTGAAGCCAACCTGGAAAAAACTGGAAGCTAAATAGCTATAAAACAGAAGAATCCTATGATAAATTTTAAACAGTCTTGCTATAGATTTCCAACCAATAAATACTGAAGGGTTTTAGCCCCAAAGGTGTCTTCCACATGAACTCCAGAATTCTGGATATGGAAACTTCCCCTAGGAAAATCGAAGACCCTGAGAGACATGCAAGACTCATCTGGCAAAAATAAAATGTATGGTTAATTTTCCATTCCCCCTCAAATTAAAAACAAAAAACAAAACAAAAAACCTGAAGATACCTGTATATAGGCAGAATTCAAATTTTGTATTCTGAATTTGCACAGAACACAGCAGCAGCCAATAGTCATATCCATATTATTCAGAATGGATAGTTTTCTCTTATAGAATTAAGTTCTAGTTTGTCATAATAGATGAGGAGAAACTACCAAGTTTTATTATGACCAACTAATTTCTCTAGCAGTTAAGTCTGAAAGGTCTGGAAGCTCTGCCCACATCAGATCGTTCACACTTGTAGAATTGTGTTTAACTGAAAAAATAGTATTAATGAAACTCAAACAAATCTCCACTGAAAACATTGCAGAGTACAACCTACGGTCAAAAAGTAATGTTAGCAATATCTACACAGACATTGTGATTCCGGAGATCACAGAGCCTTAAGTTATAAGCTAATTTCAAATGTTCCAAGGGTTAGTTTACAAAATGGTCTGAACGCTTGGACTCACAAAACAGGAAACAGATGCACATCACTCTACCCCTTGGTATATAAAGGATTATATATATTGTTTTCTCCTTGTATTACTGCAAATACTGATGCCCGATACCCTCAGTTACCAACTCAAGAAGCATTTATCTTCATAGATAGCTTACCATCAGAAGAATGATATATGCATAAGAAACTATGATTAAAGCTTTAAGTTCAAAGTCAAGAAATAAGCTATTTTTAAAAATACATGACTAGGACAAAGAAAACACCTACATTAAATTAATACTTAAGGTTACAAATGACTAATAACTATGCACAACAATCTTCTTCAGTATCTATTAACTTTTTCCCTTTGCAAAAAATCATTTACACAAGTTCAACAATTCTGTTATAAATGCTAGGCTATATATTTGTTCCAATATGCTCACTTTCAGTTCTAACACAATTGTTATTTATTTTTTTTTTTTAGCTTCTAAGTGTTTTAAATATGTGCCATTTTAAAAGGAAGAAAAATGGTATTTATCATTCTCAAGCTAAATGTGAGTCAAAAAGCCTATATAACATTCCATATATAATTTCCAATTGTTATATCACAGCAGTTTCAAGATGGAATGAAACATTTTAGAAGGGGTACAACCTCAAAGGCCTTGCTGAAAGGAAACTACTAGATCACTGATTCAACTATGTCAAATCAAGTTTCCACTGGACATTTGAATATGAACATTTAAAAAATAAATGCCAGTAGTCTCCTACCCAAAATATGTATGAAGAATCTCATTTATGAAAATTGTCTTTTACAAAGATTTATACATTATTTAAAGATTCATTTGGTGCTTTCAGATTCAAAATTTGAAAATGTCCATGGGAATATTTTAATCATAACAAGAAAAAGGGAACTCTATTTAAATTCCACTTTGTATCATGTAATAGTACAGAATTCAAAATAAATGCAACAGACCTTTTCATCTCTTCTTCTATGCACTACAGAGATCTGTTTTAACATCAGTATCTCCTACCCCCACTGAGACGACATTGCAAAAGGTATATAGAGGTCCAGCCACCAAAGACTTTTCCAAATAATGGCAATAAGAGCAAGATAGCATTCTAATTTGCTAAAACTAATTGTTCTCCAGATGAGACATGTCTGTATGACCATTTTCGTGTGTGTGTGTGTGTGTGCTCGGTGTGGGGGAGTAGGGAGGGGGAAGATTGCTATCCATTTTGACTAGCAGAATACACAACCAAGGGGGAGAGTTATTCTGAAATTTCCTAGAACTTGTTGAAGTTCTGACTTTTTATGCCATATACAAGACATAACACACATTTATAATCTCAATGTTAACAAAATTGAGAATTCAGCAGTAAAGTGCTAACATGGAAGGGAAACAAAATGTACTACGGTACGCTAATAACTCCAGTTAGTTCAAAGAACATTCAGACTGCTTCAAATTCTATTCAGAAAACTATCTCTCCAAGCTTTTTTTGTTTTTGTTTTTCATTTTACCTCTCTTAAATGAGCTGAAAGCTAACTATATAAACAGACACTTGGGGGGCCGGAGGGACATCTCTCAATCTCTACTCAAATTTTCTGAAAAATTTGCTTCTAAAAGTCATCAGCAAATAATTCAACTAGACTACCTTCAGATGACATGACAAATCAAATTAACTTACTTTCACCTTAATTTGCTTTACCAGTGGTCTGAGACCCCTGCCCCCAATTCAAAACAAAACTTTCTGATATTTCAAACAAGTTCAATAAGATTCTGGTATTATAAATTCAAACTCAGTACTGCCATCTGTAACATTCTGTTTGAAAATTGAATCATTTTCCTGCTGATTGAAAATATCATCCCAGGTCATTGGCTTGTTCTGAGCAGATGTGGTCCCTACTGGAGGTTCTTTCCCAGCATCAACCTTATACCCAATACCATCATCCTTCATTACAGGCAGATTGCTTGACCTATCAGAAAGGTATGCATATTGTCTGATCTGTAATGACCTGCAGGGATGTAAACGATAAAGCTTGGAGTCCCCAGAAGGATCTTGACTATGAACTGACTTTATGTGTGAAGACATAAACTGATAGTTGATGAAAGATTTGCCACAGGCCAAACACTGGTATCTCCGTTCTCCTGTGTGATGAATTTCATGCTTTGTGCGATATTCTGCTAGAGGAAACACTTTCTCACAGTAACGGCAGGGATACTTCTTCTCCCAAGAATGAATGTTAAAATGTCTTCGCAAGCTTGTCAGACAGACGTATGACCTTTTGCAAACAATACAGATATAATAGACCCTTCCATCTACTATTAACTCATAGTGATCATCGTGTTTTACTTTCATTCGCTTGTTGGCTATCTCATTGCCAGATGTTTTTGGTATATCTTTCTCAAGTCTGGCCTCCCCTTCATCAGGGTCATCTTTGACAGGGATCACTATGTCATAAGTATCTTCACCAATATTTGCATAAACCTTGCAACCAGTTGACAAGCCTTCAATTTCTGTTGCTGTATCTAAAGTAATGATCTTCTGACCCTCCATTAGATGTTTCGATTCTAAACCTGGATCATTAGTGTTTCTAGTAATTATATCTGAAACTTTTAAAGAATTGGAAAGTGGCTCTTGCAGAAGTGTAGGAATTGGCATCTTCTGTATCAATGACCCATCAAACGTGGTATTTGGGGGGATATCTGCCTGTGGGACCAAAGATGTATTACTGACTGCTGAATCTGGACTGGAGCTAACAGTGTCAACATCATCATCTATAATTTCTTCTTCTTCCTCGCCATTGGCCTTGTTTCTGGTTAAAACGGCACTGTTTGATGGTTGCAGATTTTGTACACGTATATTGATTGAAGGAGACATATGGTTTGGAAGTGAAGAACTGACATTTGGAGGTGTAGTAAGTGGTGTCTGATTTAGCAAAATAATGTTGGGAGTCAGATGTGCTGGAGCTGAAGATACCAGCACTTTTTCACTTCCTTGCGTTTGGTTCAGAGTTGTCTGATTCACAGAAGAAGGTAGTTTCTGAGCTGGTGTGATATTTGTTAAAGGGGGAGAGTTATTGCTAACACAAGGTGCAACATCTGAAATAGCAACAGAGCTTGTGTTTGGCTGGACCTGTGCATTGTTATTTGACAAAGTTTCCTTTGCAGGCAGAATCTCAGAGCAGAAAATGACATCATCATCGCCGTCATCATCATCATCATCGTCATCTGAATCAGTAACAATGATCTTTTTTGTTTGGTAATCTTCAGCAGATAAGGAAAAAGACTCTGTTATAATAGGCATTACAGTGGTCCCATTATCTTGAGCTTCATCTTTTGCTTTTTGTATTTCAAGGTTCTTGCCATTCGAACCAGGAGATAAGGTTTCTGCACTGCTATCATGAAGTGCACCTACAATGCTTTTAACCTGTGACAATGGGACACCAAGCTCCGCTATAAATTTAACTCCTAATAACTGCCCAGATTTTATTAACTCATCAAGTAAATCTGACCTAACTCGGATAATTTTAGAACTATATATATAATTGAGAATTTCCGCAAAGATCTCTGCTCTTATAAAGCTCAGTTCAACAACTTGCCCAGCAACTGCAAAAAGCTGATGAAAATATGTACTAGAAGCTGAAAGAATATTCCTGTGGGCCCGGAATTTTCGGTCTTCCACAATAACAGTAACATCACAGAAGAGTCCATGGCCACGTTGCTCATTCAAGGAGTTAAGCAGACTTCCAGAGTATTGAGTGTCTGTCGCAGAAATCAGTTTTCTACTCTCCATGCCTATAAGAAAAAGGAGGAAAAGGGGTCAGGAGAGGGACAAGATTAGAAAGGGAAAACAAAGGTATTTTGTTTGATTTGTTTTATTATCACTCTGATTTTAAGGCATGGCATCATTAAATAGTTTATTTACGCTTTAATGGAAGGTTAGTTTAACTTTTTAGCTTTTCTATTAATTGTTCATACTGGTTGGTTTGGGGACCCAATGCTAAATCTTATGACTTTCCTGAGAAGAGCCAAGCAAGCTTTAAATTGTTCTGCAGATTCAAATAGAAATCTCCAGAGTTACCTTCCCTTGGAACTCCGATACACCCATCAGCATGGAGCAATTTTAAGACTAGAATTTTCTTACCAAGAGCGTTAAAAGTTTACCTTTTGAGGGGTCATTTTAAAAATGTGGTAAATATGCAGGTAACAAAATACTTGTCTTTTCACCAATCTTCACGTGTACAATTCAGTGACTTTTAATTATGTCCATCACGTTGTTCACCTATCCCCCTTAAGAATCCCTCAATGTATCCATCATCCTTAACAGAAGCTGAGTGTCCCCTTAAGCCTTGTGCCTTCTTTTCTCCCTCCCTTCTGCCTATCCACCCCTGGTAACCACTAATAAACCCTGATCTTCATACAGTTGCCTAGTCCAGATATTTCGTGTAACATTTCCTGCCATTTTTGTCCTTTTTACGGTGGACTTATTTCACTTAGCATAGCGTTTTCAAGGTTAACTTTAACTTTCTTAAAAATATGTTTTAAGAAAAATCATCATGTACACATAGAAGTTACTTCACCTGCAAATGAACTGTCAGAAAATACTTGGCATCTGCAATGGTGTAAGTGCCATCGAGTCAATTCTGACTCATAGCAACCTGTATATGGTTTCCAAAGGAGTGGGTTTGAAGTACCAGCCTTGTGGTTAGCAGTCCAGTGCTGATCCCACAGCACCACACCAGGATTCCTGAGTCCAAAATATATATTCTTCCTCAATTTTAGTGACTAATCTTAGGATCTCTGGTAGCACAATGGTAAAGCACTCAACTGCCGCTAACTGGAAGACTGGTAGTTCAAACCACCAGAAGCTCTGAGGAAGAAAAGGAACTGGTGGTCTGCTCCCATAAAGCCTAGGAAACCCCACAGGATCGCCGTAAGTCATAAGTGACTCAAGCGCATACAACCACCACCATCTTAAGAACATAATCAATAAATCAGCCTTAATTGAATCAACATTTATAAACACTGACAATTAATATTTTTAACTTCCCATTATTTTTCTGTTCTTACTTAAGTAAGATACCCATCTTGCTAAATTATTAAATTTCTTTCTTATTCTCTCCTGTTTCTTCATCCTCTTGCCCCTTACCCTCACCTCTCTACCTATCATTGCCACAGGTGGAATGTGAAACAGAGTGTCAAGTGAAGTCCACAGACCCTATTGTGAAAAGACAAAGAAAGGGAAAGTTTACTGTTCCTTGCAATTTACTTGCATGAAAATATGAAATCTTTGGATTTGCTGGTAAAGAATTATGAACATCGGCCTGAGAATCTTTTTTCATATCAAATGAGGTGGTAAAGACGCAAACAGTAACTTACTGGAACAGAGCAGACATTACTCTAGAAAAAGGGAAGAGATAATCAGTTTATAGCACTGCCGTGTATCATCCCCAAAACATGAATTTTTGCACTTTGCAGAAGATACTCTAATAATGATGCTGAGAGTTCTAACATCCATTCCTCACTTATCAACATAGTTAGGTTCCAAAGACCAGGTTGTTATATGAAAATCAGCATGTGAAAATGGAGGATGCCTACAGCAGATCACAGAATGGGGGACGACTACATCATTATATAGATTACAGAACTGAGAAGCATGGCCCAGTCACGTTAACCCATAACTTTAACCATCACAGCAGTTACTCTCACCTTGCACATCGGCATTCCTTACTGCTAGATGTACCTTCTTAATGCACAAACTAGCCAGATAGTAGATTTCTTACTATAGTCGTAAATGTGAAATAACAAGTCTTTAAGCGTATATATGCACATATGTTGCTGTTGTTAAGTGCTGTCAAGTCGGTTCCAACTCACACCAGTTCTGTATAAGGTTTCCAAGGAGCCGCTGATGAGTTTGAACTGCCAATTTTGTGGTTCAAACCAGCCTTTAAAAATTTGTGGGAAAACTCCATTATTGCTTAGTTCCATTTGTCCATGAACTTTTTGAAGTCCTCTTATATGTGCATATAAGTAAGCTTCCAAAAATGTCATGGGAAAACTCCATTATATTTCAATTTCATTTTTCCACAAACTTTTTGAAGGCACCTTGTATGTAGGTGTGTGCGCCCTGGTGTGGTGCTGCAGAATAAAAACTAAACCACAAGGTCAGCAGTTCAAACTTACTAGCCGCTCCTCAGAAACCCTATACAGGGTTGCTATGAGTCTGCACCAACTCCACGGCACAACCACCACCACACACACATATATACATACATATATATAAAGGGTCGCTATGGGTCAGAACCGACTCGACGGCACTTAACAACAACAACAACAACATATATAAAGGGAGACAGAGAGTGAGTGAATGAGTCCTGGTGTGGTGCTGTGCGTGAATGCGCTGGACTGAAAAGTCATTTTGAACCTCAAAGTTGGTGGTTCGAACTCACCAGCCACTCCTAGAAAACCCTGAAGAGGGTCACAAGAAGAAAAAAATATGTATATATGTACATGTATATATCTATATAGGAGTCCTGGTGTGGCGCTGTGGGTTAAATCACCAGACTGCAAAGCCGTTTGAACTGCAAGGTCGGCAGTTCAAGCTCACTAGCTGCTCCTCGGGTCACTATGGGTCGGAATCGACTTGATGGCACTTCACAACATCACAACAAACGGTGCTAGTTGTGTGCCATAGAGTTAGTTCCGACTCAGGGCTTCTGAAGCTATAAATCTTTACAGGAGCAGAAAAATGTCATCTTTCTCCCGTGGAGCTGCTGGTAGATCCTAACTCCTGACCTTGCGGTTACAAGTCCAACTGGTAACCTCTATAAGGAGCTTCCTAAAGTTCATGGGGAAATTCCATTATGTTTCCGTTCTATTTTTTCATTTATTTTTTGAAACCCCCTTGTATATACAATGTTACCAATTAGTGTACAGATACTTTTGACAAGTAAACAGTTTTACGGTTGCCATTCTTTCAAAAATAGTTACCAAAATAGTACCACTGTCACAGTGCTTAGGCTATGTAATACTGCACACACGTGGAAGCTAGAGTCTCTCAGAGATTTGAATTTCTCAGACGTATATTTTAAGAACAATAAATAGCAAGAAGTCTAAAACCAAGGATTAAAAACCTGATCTGCTAGAAAGTGGAATTCCTCAAAGGTGGAATTCCAGGTTACCCTAAAGACATTCATTGAGAAGGGTGACCTTTGGACGAACGACTAGGGCTCCTGAAATGTGCAGATTTCGACCGAAGTCACTTTTTAAGTGTGCAGGTTTTCCGCATATGATGCCACAATTTTTGACATTGACTAATAAGTTTTTCCAATGTGGACCACGCGTGAAATGTGCATGTCCAGGTGACACTGGGGTGGCTTTCGTTGTGCTGTAGGTTTCCTCTCCTCCCCGTCTAGTGGGTCGGAATGCACCCCAAGATTTAATAAACCCTGACATGGAAAAGTCAGTCCTCATCCTTGTGAGGCCAATCCTGATCCAGGGCAAGTGAAGGAGGGGCTGGGGAAGGTGGAAAAGGGGGTGAGAAAAGCCATCGGCCAGAGGGGGGGGGGGGGAGACCATCCCAGTCCAACACACGGCTCCCTGCAGCAACTAAACCCCATGTCCCCTCCTCCTCCTCCCTCTCCCCACTTTGCACCCAGCTGGCTGCAGCCGAGGTTCTTAACCTCCGTTCTGTGAAAAGACGGCTTCTGGCACAGACAGACAGGCGTGCAAACAGCAGGAAGAATAAGGGGTGCCAGGAAAAGTAGAAGCTGGCAAGCAGAAGGGTGGGGTGTTGGGGTGGGGGAGGACGCAGCGAAGCAAGCGGCATTGTTAAGCCCCGAGAAGGGTACGAAATGGGAGGATGGGCCGCCAAAGAAGCTCGAAATCCAAGTGGGGGCGAGGAGGCGAAAAGAGGACAGAAAGACGCAGGCAGAGGGGCAAGAACAGGCCTAGTGGGTCTCAGTGGCGGGCTCCCTAAGCCCCGGGCCTACCGAGGCACAGACGGTCCTTCAGGCCCTGAGGACGACAGGGACCGCGCAAAGGCCCTCCCGGTTCGTCCCCTCCTTCACTCCGGGGCCCACACAAAGAAAGGGCCAGAGAAGCGGAGCCTCGGGCTGGCGCTTCCTGGTTCACGAGAGGAGAATGCAAACGGCGGTGCGGCCCAGGGACCCAGGAGGCAGGCGCGCTCCCTCGCCCCCTCGCCCCCTCCCGGGCTGGGGCCGGCTCCTCACCTGCTTCCTGGCGCCGCCGCTCCTTCTCAGGCCGCGCGGAAGGGTGGGAGTCCACCAACAACAACGAGCGGGACTCCCTGGCGATCCTGGTGCTTCTTTAAACGTCGCTCCAATCTTGGTCGACGTCGACGCCGCCGCTGCCACAGCTGCCCCACGCCGCCGACAGAGGGCTCAGCGCGGGGGCGAAGCTTTGAACTCAAAGGCTTCCTCCTCCTCTGGGCACAGTTCGGGTCTTTTCGGAAACGCCCGAACTCTAGGCGGCTTCGCTTCGGAGCCCTACTCTGCTTTCGGCTCTTTCCGGAAGGGGCGGAGGAAGATTGGGAAGCTATTAGAGTAGTTTGCTCATCCCGGAGGGCGATAGGGTGGGAAAAAGGAACCGGAAAGATGGGGTATTGCAGTAGTAGCAAGCAGTTGGGAATGGGAGCAAGCTAGTCCCTTTAACCTAGTATCACTGTAAACTTCTAGGGCACAAACGCTTTTAGACACTATAAAGATTTCATTTGTGTTACAAGGTTGAATCTGCTCTATTAGCATGTCTGCTTCATGATTTGCATTGCCTTGGAGTCGATTCTAATACATTTCGACCCCTTGTGTTACAGAATAGAATTGCTCCATATCGGTTTGGACCACAAGGTCACCAGCCGCTCTTCGGGAACCCTATACAGGGTTGCTGAGTTGAACCAACTCGATGGCACTTAACAACAACAATCTTTATAGAAGCAGATCACCAGGCCTTTCTTTCTAGGTGCAACTGGGTGGATTCAAACTGCCAACCTTCAGGTTAGTAAAACAAGGGCTAACTATTTGATCCATCTAGGTACGTGTTTCATGATATTGTTGTTAGGTGCCGTCGAGTCGGTTTCGACCCATAGCCACCCTGTATAGGGTTTCGGAGGAGCAGCTGGTGAGCATAAACAGCCAACCTTGCAGTTCAAAAGGCTTTGCAAGTCTGATGCATTAACCCACAGCGCCACACCAGGACTCCGAGTTTCATGATAATCACCTTGAAATAAAATTTAAATAAATATAATCAAATAAAATACATTCGCTCCTTGGAAACCCTATACAGGGTCGCTATGGGTCAGAACCGACTCGTTGGTACTTAACAACAACAACAAATTATAATAATGCAAGGAACTCTGGTAGCATAGTGGTTTTGAGTTGGGCTGCTAGCCTCAATGTCAGCAGTTCAAAACTACCAGCCATTCTTCAGGAGAAAGATAGGGCTTACTGTTCCTGTAAAGATTTGTTGTTGTTATGTGCCGTGGCATTGGTTCCAAGTCATAGCGATTCCGAGGCTGTAAATCTTTACGGGAGCAGAAAGCCTCATCTTTCTCCCGCGGAACAGCTGGTAGTTTCGAACTGCTGACCTTGCAGTTCGCAGCCCGATTCGTAACCACTACGCTACCTTTACAGTCTTGGAAACCCTAAGCAAGGTTGCTATGAGTCAGAACCAACTCTAGGGCACACCACCATTACCATTATAATAATGCAAGTTCTAGGATAATAAAACAACTATAGTACAGGAATTTCTTTTAAGATCAAAAGAATCTAGTATTTGAACTAGTACTAGTTTCTTAATTTAATATCATATGATACAAATGTTTACTGACCACCTGCTTGATCTGCATAGAAAAGCCAAGCTCTGTCTTTACAAAAAGGAGCTCTGGTAGCATAGTGCTTAGGAGTTGGGCTGTTAACCTCAAGGTCAGCAGTTAGACACTAACAGCTGTTCTGTGGGGAAAAGATGAGGCTTTCTGCTCCCGTAAAGATTTACAGCCTCGGAAAACCTATACAGGGTTGCTATGAGGCGGAACCAACTCCATGGCACACCACCACCACCACCATCCTTACAAAGTGCTGTAGGATAAGCACTGCACTACAAGGTCGGTTTCAATGGCAAGGTCAGTGGTTCAAACTCACCAGCTGCTCCTCAGAAACCCTATACAGGGTTACTATGAGTTGGAATAGGCTTGTCGGCACTTAACAACAACAATACATAGGCACACAGACATAGACAAAAGTTTTTGTACAAGATACAGAAGTACAGAGAATGACAATTTTACCACTTGGACTGTATCTACATAAAGGAATAATACTAACATTTGCATTGTTAATTTACTATTATTATTTCCATAGCATCTCGTCTTTAGGTACTTTAGTGTCTGATACATAGTAGATGTTCTGTAATTGTTAAATGAATGCATCATGAGTTCTGTCATTTAAAAAACCCTTTGGTAACACATTTCCGATTGAATACCAGGGTAAATGAAGTAACAAGATGGATAGTTGAAGAAAAAACTATTTCCCTTTAGACTGGGTATTGAGCATGCTCAACTAAAGAATCAAATTTTTTCTGCAACAATTAAGACCACTCATTACCTTTATTTCCTTTTTTTTTTTTTAAAGATATGTATAGAATAATATTGCATCAGTTACCAATAACTTGAATTGCTTTGAAGATAAAAAGAATCTAGTATTTGAACAAGTACTATTTGCCTTTCAGTTGAAACTCCTGTGTTTTCCCAGTAAAATCTTGCTGACAATGTCTGTCTTTCAGTAGTTTAGTTGATCAAAACTAAGAGTGAGACATAGTCCTTGAGTATCACAAGTAGCTCAACTAACTGAAAAAGGTAGGTAGTTTGAATCCTCCGGAGAGATACCTTGGAAGAAAGGGCTGATTCAGAAAGATTACAATCTTGAAAACCACATAGAATGCGACTCTCACTTGCAACACGTGGGGTTGCCTTGAATCAGAATCAACTGGACTGTAACTAACAACAGCTGAAAGCTGATGAAAACTTGTTCATTTACAGTACCGGATGCCTGCTCTTCCCGTTGATCATGTCCCTTGCTCTCCTCCAACAGTTGAGCAAAAGCTCAACTAAAATTTAAATGCCAGCTGTAAGTAAAGGGGATGATGACACTGTAGGTTAAGCATTGGACTATTAACTACAAGGTTTGAGATTCAAACTCACCAGTCACTGGCTGCTCCCATACGGTTTACAGTCTCAGAAACCCTAAGGAGCAGTTGGACTCTGTCTTATAGGGCTGCTATGAGTTGGAATTGGTTCAATGGCAGTAGGTTTGAAATTATGGAGAGATGGATTGGATCAGGAGATTGCTTAACACAGTGGCTGCAACAATGGGCTCAACAAACACAGAAATGATTGTGAGGATGATGATGGGGAGGATGCTGAACGACCAGGTGGTGTTTTGTTCTGTTGTATATGGGGTTGCTGTGACTCAAAACCAATTCGATGGCACCTAACAACAAATCATCAGGAAAAGAATTTTATTTGTAGGAAAGCAGAGCAGATTAAGAAATTTAAGAGGCCTCCATAATTGTCTTTGGGACACAATCAGTGGAAAGTTTTGTTAACTTTCTATTTCCCAGCAAGTTTACCAGTACACAGATAATTCACAAAGAGTAATTTCACCCTTCACTTGCTTTTTATCTGCAGGCTTTAAACTTCCTTCAAATAACCCAACAGATTCTAAAGAGAAGAGCCTATATCAAATGGATTTGGAGCTAACAATTGTTTCCAGGAAGGCTGATAATGGAATCAGTCACATTGTTAATATTTACTTACTTACCTTACCAAACATGATATCCTTCTCCAGCAACTGGTCCCTCCTGACAATATGTCCAAAGTATGACAGATGACGTTTGGCCATCTGGCCTCCAAGGAACAACACTCTGGCTGCACTTCTTCCAACACACATATGTTTGTTCTTTTGGAAGCCTATGGTGCTTTCAGTATTCTCCTCCAAAACCATAACTCAAATGAATCAATTCTTCGATGGACTTCCTTATTCACTGTTCAGCATTTGCAGGCATATGAGGTTATTGAAAATACCATGGCTTGGGTCAAGTGCACCTTAGTCCTCAAGCTGATATCTTTGCTCTTCAACTCTTGAAAAAGGTCTTATGCAGCAGATTTGCCTAATGCAATACATCGTTTGATTTCTTGACTGTTGCTTCCATGAGTGTTGATGGTTGATCCAAGTAGAACGAAGTTCTTGACAACTTCAATAAATTCTCCTCCGTTGATAAGAATGTTGTTTATTGGTCCAGTGGTGAGGAGTTTTGTTTTCTTTACATTGAGATGCAATCCATCCTGAAGGCATGGATTTTTGATTTTTGAAAATCAAAGGCATGGTCTTTGATTTTCATCAGTAAATATTTTAAGCCCTCTTTACTTTCAGAAAAGTAAGGTTGTATCATCTGCATATCACAGGTTGCTAATAAGTCTTCCCCCAATCCTGATGCCATGTTTTCCTTTATATAATCCAACTTCTCAGATTATTTGCTCAGCATTCAGGTTGAATGAATATGGTGAAAGCAAACAACCCTGTCGCACACCTTTCTTAATTTTAAACCATTCAGTGCTCCCATGTTCTGTTTGAATAACTGCCTCTTGGTCCATGTACAGATTCCTCATGAGCACAATTAAGTGTTCAGGAATACTCATACTTCGTAATGTTGTCCATATCAGCAAAGACCCATCTGATAAAGACATTTCCCGATGATTTCCACATTCCGTTGAGTCACCTCTCTTTGGAATGGGCACAAATACAGATCTCTTCCAATCAGTCAGCCAGATAGTTGTCTTCCAAATTTCTTGGCAGAGATGAGTGAGTGCTTCCAGTGTCACCTCACTTTCTTGAAAGATTTCAATTTTTATTCCATCAATTCTGATGCCTAGTTTGGTTTTTTTTGCCAATTCCTTCAATGTACCTTCAACTTCTTGCTTCAATATCATTGGCTCTTGATAATATGCTTCCTCTTGAAACAGTTGAGTATTAACCTTTTGGTACAGTGACTGTGTATTCCTTCTATCTTCTTTTGGTGATTTCTACATCATTCAATAATTTGCCCAGAGAATCCTTCAATGACAAAAGTCAAGGCTTAAATTTTTTCTACAATTTCCCAGCTTGAAAAATGCTGTGCGTGTTCTTCCCTTTTGATTTTCTGATTCAAGACCTTTGCACAATTCATTGTATTATTTGACTTTGTTTTCTCAAGCTGACCTTTGAAATTTTCTGTTCAGCTCTTATACCTCCTCATTTCTTTCATTTGCTTTAGCATCTCTATGCTGGAGAGCAAGTTTCATGTCTCTTCCGACATCCATTTTGATCTTTTCCTCTTTCTTGTCTTCTTAATGACTTTTTGCTTTCCCCCTGTGTGATGTTCTTGATGT